CCACGTAAGCAGGAAAAAAAAGCCAGAAGTGGCGCTGTGGTTCAAGTGGTAGAGCGCTAGCCTTGAGCTGAAGAGCTGAGGGACAGCACCCAGGCCAGAGTTCAGGCCCCAAGACCGGACCCCCCCCCCAAAAAAAAAGAAAAAAAAGAAACCATAGTCGTGTTGCTGATATGGCCTGTTGTTCCTCATTCCCATTTATCTCTAAAAGGACTTTGGTTATGAGAGCACTCATAATCATAGTTGAGTTGCGGAGGCGTGTGTGAAAGCAGGAGGGAGTGTTCCCTTTTCTACTGTGGGTTCTTTCTGTAACTGGCCTCTTCAATGCCATCTCAATCAATGCTCATCATTGCATGCCCGTTCCCTACCAGACACTGGGCTGGCCGAGAGCCTTGGAGACACACAGAACAAAGCCACACTGGTCAGACGCTTAGCTAGGGTCTCTCTACCTCTGATATGGAATATTCATGTGTGAAATCCCTAAGGAAAGATGGGCTTTTTGACCTCTGAGGCACGGTTAGGTGCTGTTCAACCTGCCTCGTCCCACGGTCATCCTACTGTAGGTGATAGTCTTGGGGCACATGCAATCCTTTTGGTGTGGGTTGATACTGCAGAGCTCCAGAAAGGCCTGGTGACCTGAGCTACTCCTTTGTCCATCCATTATCCACCCCCTCACCCCACTTGCCTGGCGTGTAGAACAGTGGACCAGACTTCTTTGTCCTTATGAAACTTACACAATGAAGGAGAAGGGTAAAGACAGTGATCTACATTTGAAAAAAAATGTAATGGATTCAGTGCCTTCATGAAACACATGAAGTAGGGTTTGATTTTCCTGGCTCAATGATGTTGGAATTTATTACAAGAAGTGAAACAATGAACCACGTTAGATCTGGAGGGCAAGCATTATATCCAGAAAGAGGATAGAAAAGAAAATGGAGCCAGGGGGCTGATGTGACTGAGCAGAACAAATTGTGGGGAGGGGGGCATAGTGAGGGATGAAGTTGGTTTGCAGTCTTAAATACCCATGGGGGTTGCATGGAGTTGGACAACTGGAATTAGAGAGAACATTCCCCAAGATGTCCTCACTTCTGACTTCAGGTATGCTGGTGGATTACCCAAAAGCAAGCTGTCATTTGGCAACTCACTCTTTGCTGAGCCACACACTCCATTCCATTTCATTTAATTCCATTCCATTCCATTCATCTTCATCATCGTGATTCCAGGCTCTTGTTCTGGGATGTGGTCACCCACCGTTCCTTCCAGACAAGATATAGGTGGACTTTCTTCCTGTGTTCTTCCTCTTTGGCTTCCATACTTTTAGAAGGTTAGACATTTTTCTAATTTGGGGCGGGGAAGGGAAAAAACAAAATGCTGAAACAAGGATACAGGATGACCCATTGTAACAATGGGATGTACAAGACATTATGTTGAAAACGAACTTTATAACTTTGGCCAGGGAGGGAGGAATTTGGAGGTGGGGAGGGAAAGGATAGTAGGGGAAAAACAAAGGAGGGGGTAACAATGCTCCATAGGAAATGGACTCATTACTTACTCATGTAACTGTAACCCCTCTATACAGGGTTTTTACAATTAAAAAAATATTAACCAACTTAACTGTGAAGTAAAATGGCTACATATGCCAAAAAAAGAGGTTAGAACAATGACAAGGACAACACGTTTTGATTAAGCGCTCACTGGATGCCAGAGCATTCACTAAGTACAAAACATGCTCTCCTAACTAAAACCCAGGAGATCAGGGTGACCTTGCCACCTCCTCCATTTGAGCTCACTGGGATTGGGGAGAGTGGGTGGAGCTTGTCTAAGGCCATGACTCTTGAGTAAGAGAGAGCTGTGAACAAGACTCATTCTTGTGACCATCCAGAGCGCTAGGAACTAACCTTGTATTTTCCAGAATGTGGGATGATTTTAGGCTACAAAAGCATAATATTTAATGATAGTGATAATATTTAATGATAGTGATTAAGTCATTTCTTTGCAGGTTTTTTTTATGCTTTTGACTAAAACTATGGGCAAAAATTATAATCAGTTCTGGCAGATCTTATACACATCTCAATCTCTTCTAATTTACCAGTTACTAAAAAAGTAAATGTTCAGCTAAGATCTTTGACAAGGGTTAAAAGCAAAAAGATACAGAAAAAGGAAATGGTCCCTAAGAAATCAAGTACGGAGATTTGCTATTTTCATCTTTTATTCTGTGTTGTGTTTTCTGGAGAGAGGAGAAGCAGACATTGCTATGTTAGGTTATATAAGACCATTAGCTTTTTCTTTTTCTTTTTATTCCCATTTTCTTCTTACTGCCTTAGGCCATTAGCCCTTTATGATAATTTGGTGAAGGCCTACAGAAGCATTGTAATGCTTTGTAAAGCTGCTTATCAAATAGTTCCATACAAGGGCCGATGACTAGGTTGGAAGAGCTGTGGGAGGAAGCTAGAAGGACCTTTCGGGAACTTCATGGGAAGGTCAGGTTTTGTTCATTTCACATCTTCCTAGGTCATGCTGTCCTATTGAAGGACACATGCTATCCAACAGATGAACAAAAGTCCCCGCAGTCAAACGAGATATCTAATTTCTCTTCTATTTCAGAGCTCTTCATGCATTTTGTCTCTTTTGACCACTCTGGGGGCCTCGTGGACAGATCTGGTTAATCAAGCCGTTGGAATTTAGGTGACATAGATGAGTTCCCTCAACTCACACCTCTAATATTAACTACTTGGGAGGCTGAGAGAAGGAAAATCATAGTTTGAGGCCAGCAGGGCAGAAAGTTTGCAAAATACAATCTCAGAAGTAACCAGCACATACAGGACCAGAGGTGTGACTCAACATAACAGCCCTAGACAGCCTCGTAAGCTCAAGGCCCTAAGTTCAAACCCCAGTCCCAACATAAAAATAAGGAAAAAGATTTGTCTTAATCTGAAACTGTGGCTTCACTGGAGATACCTTTCTCACTGTGGCTGCGGGCTGGCTGTGGTCTTTGAACAAGACCTGTGTTCACTGTTTACCTCACTCCTCTGCTCCATGATGCTGATGGTCTGAGCAGATTTATCCAGTCACTTCCACTGCCTGAGCTCTGGTGGGCTTTGAGGATGTAACTCCTGGTTCTTTCTGTAAATGTGTGTATGTGTATATTTATGTAATATGTGTGCTTATAGATCTGTATATATGTGTGTATGTGTGTATATATGCTTGCAAGAGGGTGTATTTGTATGTGCACATGTATACACACATATATGATTGTATGAATATGTCTGCATGTGTGCTTTTGTGTGCATGTGTGCATACGTGTGTGTGTGTCTTCAAAATTTCAGGCATAGGAAAGTGTTTTTGATAGTGTACTTGTTTTCATTTCCTTTGTTTTAGATCACAATATTTTAGGAACTTAAATGTCCTTGAAGAAAGAGTGTGGATTCATTATTTTTATCAAAAGTAGAAACTGGATAAAAGAATGGTTTTCAGAGTGTAGATCTTGCCAGTGATTAGGTTATAATACAGACTCAGCAGTCTACTACCTGAGTTAAAAAAGTGATAGAAAAGAAAACATCAGCATTTTTACAAGGTGATAGATCCACAAATAGATAGACACACACCGGGCCACAATGTAAGCATTATTTCTTCTGTGGATTGCAGTTCAATACAACCTTTAAAAACCACTGGATTGCCAGGCTTGAGACACATAACTGCAAAGTTCATACTAATCCATTGTCCTACAAGTGTTTCCAATAACAGATAGCTTTATACCTCTTAGTCTAAGCTTGCCATTTAAGTAGGAAAATAAACAATGTCTGCTTCCTTAGGAGAAACAGCTTCCTGCTTTCCATTCTTAAAGAATCAGTAAGGTTAATTCTTCCTCTTCATGAATTCATGTATTCATATTTGACAAGGTGGTCAGGTTTGTATGGTTGATATATGGGTGAAAGGGGGTCACAGGGGTTAAAGTATTTCCTGTAGGATATCTTCATAAAGGAAATGGAGACTGCCTTGCAGTTGAGTTTTAGCTCTTCATTGGATTAGAAAGACTTAATGACTAAAATCCCATGATCAATTTCATGAGCAAATCCTTTATATTAATGTACTGAAAGAGCTATTTCTTTTGTTTTCTTTTTTCTTCCTCTTCTCTTCCTAATAAAATTCAGGTGGGATAATTTTGACCAGCTTTCCCTATGTGGGAAATTGCCGTATGGCCCTGGTATTGTGGAAAAGTAGGTAGGGACAGACTTTTCTTGTTTTATTGCATGAATTGCCTATTGTACTGCAGTAGATAAATCAACAATAGCTTGAACAGAAGCTTTGCTTAGTTTCCATTGTATAGTTTTTCTGACATTTGTTTGGGTCCTCTGGTTTTTCATGGTCTGGGGTGGACAGGACCATCGTCATAATGTTTGACATCAGTGATCAAACCCATGCAGTTCTTCTGAAGAGCTTTTCTTGTCCTTCATAATCCAACACCTTCATGCTCATTAGGAGAAATTAAGGTAGGTTCGATGCATTGATTCATTGCTGGGTTAGAAAAGTTGGGCGACAATTTCAACAGAGATTTCAGAAATAGGAGAATCCCCAAAGCTCTGGTTGGTACGGTGAGTTAAAACAGAATTGAAGGGAGACAGATCATCCTCTCAGGTTGAAGCTGCCCAGGAGGGTTTCTGGTGGGAAGCCTCTCCTGGGCTGGGAGGAGCAGGAATGCTGGGACCCAGGTTTCCTCCCCAGGAATGAAAGGTGAAGTGCATGGATTATACTGAGACTTGAGAAGGTGTTCTGTCAGGAATCCTTGGTTTTTCTTTGTGGTTAAAAAAAAATCACTCATCCCGGAGTGTTGGTTCCCTGCTTATGGGTTTAGTCATTAACTAGACACTTGGACATTTTGATCGCTGTTCACTTTGTTTAGTAAATGTAAGCAACCATACTAATTGCATAAAGAAACGGGCCTGAGATCTTAGCTCTTGGGACTCCTGGGAGCTGGATTTTCAGTGGCTTCTTTGTCGTTTCAGGATGTGTGAGACTGGTGAAGGGTTGTTCATCTTTCAAACGCGAGACGGCGAGGCCATCTACCAAAAGGTCCACTCGGCTGCCCTGGCCATCGCGGAGCAGCATGAGCGCTTGCTACAGAGCGTGAAAAATTCAATGGTACGTGTGGAATTTCTTCCTTCCCACTCAGTGTCTTCTTGGAGAGTGTACTTGGGTAATTTTGGTGCCAAACAATCTGGCCAGTATGATCTGAGCAGATGGTTTCCTTCTATACTCAGCAATCTGTACTATGGGGACTAGATGCTGTCCTAGGTGGCCAGTTGGTAAAAACTAGGCATCCTTGATCATGTATTGTTTTCTTTGTGATTATTGTATGTGGGTGTCTACCTTAAAATCAATTTGAATGTATGTCAACATCTATAGATACTTATGGCAGAAGTTATTTCCAATGCCAACAGCAGCTGGAAAGAAAGTAAAAATGATTGAAGAGAGAAGAGGGAAACCAAAAGGAATGAGAAAAGCTCATCAAGAATATAGTCGAGTTGGTAACAGTTGGGAATGAACTACCTGCATTTCAAATAGCAACAGGTTTGGGGCTGACATAGCCATGCGTTGCTGGTGCTTTAGTGTAACACAAATAGTGTGTGTGAGAAATATCTATTCAGAACATAGTTCTGCAATACTTCTACTGGCTTAAGAACATACTTCTCCTTCACACTGTATTAGTTCTTGAGACTAAAGATCAGACAAAGTATTATGATATCTTAGTCTCTCATTTGAAGGAAAATAAACTCAAGGAATCTTAAATTCCTTAATTCTGTTAAGTGAACACAATCACACACTTATAGTTGTAAATACCTGGAAAGGGATAAAATCAAAGTGAGCTGGTTTGGTGTGGTAAGGTTCAGGTAGTTTGAATATTTATGATTTATGCCTTTGGAATAGAGGGATTTAAAGGCATATGAGGAGACAAAGCATATCAAAGATGTGACTGTGCCAGAGCTGACCCTGATTTTTCCCCAGTGACCTGTCACAGTGCAAGCTGGGGTTTTAGGACAATGGGGATTAAAACCTTGCAGATATGACAGTGATGGTGGGCTCAAAATGCCTGTCTAAAAACAGTGTTTCAAACCCTTTGCTCATTTAATAAAGTATTGTTCCTTTGGCTACCCCCCCCAAGACCATCTGAAAGTATGTATTTAAAAAACCAACAAAACATTTGTTCTTGCTTATGATGGATGACACAAAAACAGGCAGCAGGCCAGAGGCTGCTGTTGGCAAGGACGTATGTTCATTGGACTAGTGAATGCACCCCATGCTGTGAGGCTTCCCTCACATGAGTGAAGTGGGGTACTCAAGTGTGGGGCACGGGGTACCAGATATTCAGTAGAATGTCATCCTGAGTGAGCTTCAGGGTGTTTCTTGATGAATATCCTTGACACTGCTCATCTGAACCAAGCACATCACCCCCCCCCCCGTAATAATCTAAGGGAGTTTTGCACGATCAGTTTGGAGGCTTGAATAGAACCCGAGAGAGAATTGGCTCTGTTCCATGTCTTGAGTAGGAGAAATCTCATCATCCACTTTGTACTTGAACTTTCACCATCGGCAGACTGCGGGGCGGGGGGTCTCAGGATTTCTCTGTCTTCAATTATGCAAACCAATTACTTATTATCTCTCTCCCTCTCTTCTGCTACTTGTCTGTTTTGGGGAAAGCAAAATGATTATGGACAATGCTGGTAATGTAGACACAGATAATGTAGGGAGCTAGGTCAGTGTGGTCAGTGAGGGACTTAGAATCTCTCCCATGCAGCAGAACTAATTCCAGCACTAACACTGAACTATTCCAACCCTGTGGAGAAGGACAAAATTCTTCATTTCCCCAAGCTCCACTTTTCTTCTTTGTAAGAATGAGAAAGGTAATAAATAGTATTTATCGTAGAGTCTTCCTGCAGCTTTCAGTGAGGTATGCTTGCAATACTTTCAAGACTGTGTAATAAATTTATGTGGAAGGTAGCTGTTATTTTTACTGTTTGTGATAGCCAAGGTTTTGTCACTATTGGTATCAACAGCTGAGCAGATGAGTGGATATGTATTGATCCTAGTAATGGATTGATGATTTCTAGCAAAAACCACATCCATTTCCCTCCCTCCCTCCCTCCCTCCCTCCCTCCCTCCCTTCCTTCCTTCCTTCCTTCCTTCCTCTCTTCCTTCCTCTTTCCCTCCTTCCTCCCTTCTTTCCATCTCTTTTTCTTTTTTCCTCTCCTTCCCACTCTCTCTTTTGCACAGTTGTTTATTGTTTCCTTTTTCATTAAGACTTTATTGGCATACTTAGTTTTACAAGGAGGGTTATTATAACATTTTGATACACACTTTTAGTGTACTGCCTCTTCTCTCTCTCTCTCTCACCCTGCCTTTCCCTCTTCTTTAAGTAATTTTGTCAGGTTTTATTGTGCTATTTTTCTATCAGCGTATAATGTACTTTGACCCTATTCAACTTCATTCGCTCTCTCCATTCACCTCTCCTGCATCTGTCTCTCTGTCTCCTTCTCTCTCTGTGTCTGTCATTAAGTAGAGCAAACCTGAAATCAGGATTGAGAAAGTATAGCATGATTCCATTTGATAGTTTTAGAGGATCAGTTTTGCATGTTGTAAGATAGGTAAGTCACTGGAAGGTTGGATGAATGGATGGATGATAGATGGGGGAGGGGTAGATGGAGAGAGGGAGAATGAGAAAGCCATGAAGTAGAATGCAAATCACTTAAAATGTACAGAGAAGCACATTGCATTAGACTTATGTAGCCAGCACATTAGATGCTTTTAAGCTTCTCAAGAAGTTTTTGTAAAATCACCTTATTTATAAGGCCATAATTAGCATAAATTGGTGCTTGAAAGGCAGATTTTGCGTGCACGTGTTTTTCCATTTTCAACCTCCTCATTATTTCCACTAAAAATTAATCAAGACTGTGTAATTCATTCAGATCATCCCTTTGCAAATTTAACAAGAAAATAATGTCATTTGCTGTTAATTTGCTGTCTGCTTCATGAGTTCTATAAAAATAAATGCACTTTTAAAGGGAGAACACCCTGCTGTATATGCAAGAAGTGAGATTTGGAGCTCCAAGTAAGTTAACTGGGCCCTGTGAAAAGCTTAGCCCATGGGTACTTAGTGCTCAATTAGGGAGAAAAGAGATGGAAACAACATTGCTGGCCTGTCTACTGGGGTTCGTTTGTGCAATTTTCTCTAATACAGAGTAGATCTACCCATGGATCTGGCTGTATTGTCTTCTGGTAATTGCCCTCACACCATTGATAAGTCAGTGGATGGTTGGATGAATGGATGCATGGCTGAGGGAGAGAAGAGATGGAGAGAGGGAGGGGAGGTTGCAATTGGAGGAGAGTGGAAAAGCTCACCTGTGGCCTTAGCCTCATTATCAGGAAGCCCTAGCTCACTGGTCATTGTCACTGTGGTCAGGCTGTCAAGCCTGCAGAGATGGACGGCCCCATGAGACCTTCATCCACCTGATGCCATGTCCTAGCACAAAGCTACAGAGTCATCCTGTGACCCAGAATAGGTGAATAGAGGTCCCACAAAGATGTCCATCTATAAATCCCTAGAACCAGGGATTATCAGGTTTTATGTCAAGAGGGACTTGGCAGATGTGCTCTAGAAGACATGTCCTAGATGATAATAATACTGATAATAAGATAATAATAATACTGGTGGGCGCCGTATTATCAAAAAAGCTGCTGTAACAGGCAAGTGGAACTCGGCTGAGTGAGAGCCAGACAGAGGCCGGGTAGTGATGGGGACTTAAAGATGCTCTGCTGCTGGCTTTGAAAGCAGACAGTGCTCCATGAACCAAAGCATGCACGTGGCCAGTCAGCCCTAGAAAAGCCATGGAAATAGGTTGCCTTCAAAGATCATGGCCTGTAACTGCGGACCTCATGGTTATGACAGCCATAAATCAGGATTTTTTTCCTCTTCCTAATCCCTTTTCCTGGGACAATTTGCCTCACTCCTGTGAGGGGTATTAGAGCACTAATGTTCCCACTGAGCAGGAGATTTCAGAAAAAAATATATATCCAGTTCTATCTAAGAAAACCAAAATGCCTCCAAAAGCAAAAACTCTTCCTTTCTTTTAGCAGGCTTGGTAGCAGTGAGTTTATGTCTTAAAGTTCCTTCTCTACCTTCCCACTTTTCAAATTCAATGCATATCATCGCTTGCTATACATGGGGCGGGTGCGTAGGGGGGTAGTGTCAGTTTGGGGTGGGCCTGGAGAATTAGGAGGAGGATGAACTGTTGAATGCAATGGGAGATGGGAGTAAGAGCTAGCTTGCTCTCCAGTTGCCTGCTTTCTTGCAGGGGAAGCAGCAGAGCCTGGAGACCGCTTGGGTCCTCCCTGGAGCTGTTTAGCTATTTTTTGCCACCATTGAGATCAGTGACAAAGTCTAATTTTGGAACGAGGAGTGGCAGAGCGTGGGATGTTCCTCATTCCACAACTAGGCCCGTCATTTTTAGAATTTCCTTCAAGGAGAGAGCCGCAGGGTGAAGAATGCTTGCCATTTAGCAGGTTTTTTTTTCAGGGGCTACAATGTGGGCTCCATTAGGGGTGACATCCACACCCAGGGTGACTGACCCTGGATCCCTGATTACACACAGGTTTAGGAGTAAAATCTGAGCTGTCCTTTCGCCTCTTTTTACAAAGCTCCTTAAATGGATTTACTTTGAAACTGAATTTCACAAATGAAGTTTGTCAATGAGTTTCTAGAATTTAAGTGACATTCTTCCAGCATTCTTGAAACCAGAACCACTTACACTTGGCCTAATTAAAAAAAGATAAGCTATACATTTATATAAAAGCTATAGAGAACCAAAGAAATCATAAATTGAATGTGATTGCTATTGCAAACATTGAAGTAGACTGCACTGTGGGGTTTTCTGTGTGCAAACACCTCTGACAGCTTCTCTTTCCCTACTGTCCCTCTACACCTCCCCCCCTTCCTGCCCCCAATCACTGTCTACATCTTCTATTTGTGGACTCTTGTTAATTGAGTTAACATTAACATAATTCTTAAAGAAATTACAAGCCTTTTGTTTTTTTACCTCCTAAATTAAAACCTATTTATACTCTGGCACATTACTTATTGAAAAATA